TGGCTGTTGGTAGTGCATCGTGGACGGCTGATGTTGACATAGACAATTTTTTTTATAATTTTTATAATTTTTTTGAATCTTTTAATAATTTTGAATTCTCTCATTTTCTTTCTTTTTTTTTTCATTTTTTTTCCTACCAAATCTAGCGAGGGTCTCCAGTCACAAGCGAACGCTAGCCAACCCTTGCCTGGGGGTGGTGAGGGCTTCGTAGCCCTAGCCAAGTTTGGGCAAGGGCCGTGACCCTCGCTCGTGGCTGGCGAGGGTCGATCGGCCCTCCCTGCGATTGACGAGGGTTGGCTGTCGACCCTTGTCGGGCTTGGAAGATCAAAAAAGAAAAAGAAAGAAAGAAAGAAAAAAGAAGAACAAAATAATATAAATTTAGAAAATTTTAAAAAAAATAATAAAAACTATACACGTTATTGCCGATCGTGCCACGTAAGACGATTGGTGTCAACGTCAGCAATTTCTGTGCGCAAATCGACCTGATGGATTCAATTGGCAAAATGTGAAAATTTTTAGGATTCAATTGGCAAATTGAAAGGTTTATAACTTAATGGGCCAATATGTAATGGGTTTATGACTTTTTGGACAATTTTCCCATAGGTAATAAGTATGAAAGGAAAAAAGTAAAAAGTATCATCATGTGATGAACTAGTATGCAATCGTTTGATTTTCATGCTTGACTATGTTAATTAGCAATGTCAATAAGTTAATAGAAGAATGTTACAGTATGTAAACGTACAAAGATTATCTCTACCGAGAGTAAAAATGAAAGCGCATGTTAGAACTTGATGAAAAATAAGCTCATTAATATATCTTTCCTCATTTACCTATATGAATGCATCATACAAAATTTGTGATTTGTTTATTCAATCTCAATGCTCCAACATGTTAATTAAGTAGGCATAAGTGGTGATTAATATCAGTAACTTAGACATGTTGACTTGCTTATTGCAAATTTTAATTTCTAATAGTAAGATCTAACAGAAATTACTGATTTAGAACATCCATGATATATATACATTTACAGAAGTGCAATATGTGATTTTCATATAGTATTTGAATATCTCCTGACACTGTCAATTATAGCGAATAAGAAAAAATAATTTTGGTTTTTGCTGGAGACTTACTTGAGTTGAAAAAATTTCATAATTTTCTCCTTTTTTTCCAGATTTCTAAGATTTTTGGGTTTATGATTGTTCTATGCGTCTTTTTATCATTTACTTATTTTTTTTTCAATTGTTTAAGGTAGTACTTTCAATCTCCAACCTCTCCATTCGATGGGATTTTGCTGAAAATTTCAATTTGGATAGTGCATTGGAACAAGACCAACATAGAAGTTGCTATATTAATGTCTATTATCCCCTTCAACAAAAAAGAAATGATTTTCTCAATTTAGGATCTACGCTTTTAGTTTCTCCACAAAGTACAGTTTAAGCAATGAGGTTGGGCTACTTTATACAAGATAATTGTCCATTTTATTGCCAATTTCTCATGAAGAGAATCGAAATAATCGTGATGACATTTGGATTTTGTTTCTTACAAGCTTGACTTTTAGGTGTTTCTTTATATGGCCAATGATTTTCTTTAATCCAATCTACCATTACGTAAGTGACCCTGAAATTTACCATACTAACTACTTCCTGAGTCATTTTTTCAACTTCCGAAACAAACTTTAAAGACAAAATGTATATATCAACGTGTAAATATCGATGGATCCCGTGCATCTTCACGAGTTAGATTCTAGTATTTTTGATTTTTTAAGTTAGGTCGATTGCGTGAGGCTGAGGTGGAGTGACATCTCAAGATGATTTGGGTTTTCTATATTCATTCATATACAATAATGCGTCGTCGATGGTTGCTTACCGAGCATCACGGCATGGGTCCAATTTGACAGAATTGACAATCTCAATGTTTCTGGTCTATTTTTGGTCAGAGCGACAGGGAAAAATCTTCACCTTATCCACATATAATAATACTCATTTTTGTATGCTTTACGAATCTAGTATACGAGAATTTATGGTCCACGGACGGTGAAAAGAAATAAAGAGAGAATAATTTCAAAATGAGTAAGGAGAAGGGGCAATTGTATGATTTACCGGGGGACGTAACTTCGAATGGTAACGTGTCGTAACTTCTATAAACAAACTGTCGTAACACATGAAAAGACTTTACGTTCAACGGGTGAGATTAACGCACTTTTTCATTGGATTGCTATTGAGGGGTTAAGGATTCGGTTATCCTTAGGAAACATCGTAAGAGAAGGGGTGAGTCTTGCATGGACCTGCACATTCATGGACCCAAAAAATGGATCGTCCTATGTTGACCTTGCGGGACCGACATACTAGTCGCGTATGATCAATCATCACAATGGACCCTCCATGTGGATTTAGGTCTTACGCTCTTTTTAATCGAATGATTATCTAGGGGTTGAGGACTCGGTTCCTTATGATCCTCGGAAACATCCCAAGAGAAGGGGCGAGTCTTGCATGGACCCGCGCCTTCATGGACCCAAACGGATCGTGCCATCGATCGTGCGGGACCCACACACGAGAGTCGCGTATGAGATCAATCATCGCGATGAACCCTCCGTGTGGATCCAGGTCTCGGCAAAGTACTTGCCCAAGAGAGAGGCCAATCTTTGTGTCATCATCGGCTTGCGAAGTAAAAACATGCTGTGGGACAAATATCCTCAATTTACCCAAGCTTTGTACGTGAGTATCGGGATATCAACCGTATGACCCGGATCCATATGCTTGATGTTATCAATATCAATGCACTCTGTCATGGTTCTCTCAATTTTTTAAGTTCCCAATTTGGCAGTTCCAACATCAAAAAGATGTTTTATGGATCTCGATGGCTAACCCTTGTTTGGTCACGAAGGCTTATAGGCCATGCAAATCCAATGCAGCATTCGGGGGCAAACCCAAAAAACAAAAAAATTCAAAACTTAGGAACTCGCGTTCGCTATACTATAGTTTATTCCCAAATATCAGCTCAAATTCTAAAGGGGTTCTCAACTTATGAACATGTCGACAACGGTCAACTTTGGACTAGCTCCCCTCATACATGTCAAAGAGGAAAGGCCGTCCTTATTCGTTTGTCTTTTGTAACTTTAAGAGGTTCTCTCAAGACGTGTTGACATCTTCCAATGGTGGTAAATACGACGAAGACCATTTGCTGAAGATGAATCAAACGGATAAACTTTGGCGACCTTAATTTTCGTGAAACTAGCGACGCTACTCGTGTGTGTAGGGACAAAGCGGGAAGCATCGAATCTGATGAATGTCAGGGCCAAAAGTTGATATGATTTTTAGCTTTTGGGGGTCGTGGAATCTTGGAGGAGGAGGGCCAAAAGAGATAAAAAAAATCGCAATTCCTGTTGGTATTACGCGCGGTTTCAACGGGATGGTGAAGAAGGGAAAGAAACACGAGAGTAACATCCGTGAACGCCGACAGCAAGAATCGTCAAGCAGTCTTCCCAACGCTTTGCCTTCTCTCTTTCTTTCTCTCTCTCTCCTCATTGGAAAACCTAAACCTACTTACTCTATGGGTTTAATCGAGTGGTGATTGAAATGAGAGATATACGAAATTTATATATTAGTCCTAGAGCAGTTGAGTTTGGTTTTTTTCACCACCAATTGAGTACAAATGATCTCTATGCTTCACTCGTTCAATTGAGTTTTGGCTTGCATCTTACTTATTCTAACATTGATTTTTTTCCTTGTTAAAAAAGAAGAAGATCTAACCCTACCGGATGAATTGTTTCTTTTTTGTTCAAGAAATCTAAACCTATTACACGAAGCATCATTCTTTTTTTCATTGCAATGAATTTACTTCACGTGTCTGAGATACATATATCCTAGGTTTGGATCCCGAGATCTTGTCCCTTCCTACCTTCCTTTGCCTTTGAAACACTCGAACGACTCTTCTCAACATAAGCTTGGCATATTTCACCACCGCGAGAGATCGAATTAGTGGTACATAAAGATCTTAACGAATGATGTAGGGGAACTTGTTGTCTACCTAATGCCTCTATTTAGTTCAAGTGGGTATACGGCAAAATACATATTGAATTGGGTTTGGAACCGGGAAGGTGAATGTATGTGTTGAGAGATGATGAGAGTATGCTCTTCATGTTAACCCCCTCAATCCCCAGCAAAATGAAGGAAAATGAGATACATTTGCTATACGCATACTCTCTTCCTAGTATCTTGGAAATAATATATGTCGGGTTTTTAATTGAATTTAATGAGCTCATGGCAAACCTGGCGTGCCGAAACAGGTCATGGTCGATTGATTGCTAGCTCCAATTTTCATACGAACAGGAGTTATATGGACCGGTTCCATCAGTTGCCATATACGTAAGAACCTTCCATTGGCGTTTTCTCAAGCTGGCCGACTAAAAGAGTTTGTTTAACTTCATCACCATTAATTGACTTCGGTAGATAGAGAGACTGAGACCTCCAGCTGTCGGACTATTTCAACAATTTCGGAGCAGTTTTGTGATCTCTCTTGAGAAATTGCACAATTATGACTCGAAACAAGAACATCATGAGTCTACTAATGTCTAGAGTTCTCGGAAGATTCCTAATCCGGGCAGAGAAACTTCAGAGAAATATATGGGAAGGTTGAGAGACATATGACAACCGGTCCAAATACACACTCTATCATAGAAGAATCATCATGTAACGAGGACATGTACAGTTCATATGCTTTATTTATTAGCTACGTGAAGGTTAAAAAATCACATATGGTAAGTTATTTAAGATCTACGACCGAATACGTACAATTAGGACTCAGTCTGCTCGTTGAAATACAGGCGTGCCTCTGTTGTGGCCAAGACCACGTTGAGACCTGGCTAGGGTTTGTCGCGTTCCTTCCCATATGGAACCTCACTCTCTCTTTCATGCCATTGGGAAAAAATTTCTCAGACCAAAACCAGACAAACTTGACACATGAATAATACCCATCTCCTCCTCCTTCCTCCAGGGGTTGAATCTTCCCCAGAAACAGCCCCTTAAAGCACGGTTCTCGTCATCGTTGAGCTGGTTCATCTCTCTGATCTTGCAAAACCACCATGAATGAAGATCGAAATGATGGTGGTTTGAACAAGATGGCGGCGAATCCATTGGAGATCATAAGCGAGGATGAGGAGGAAGAGGACTGTGAGAGCAAGACTAGGAACAGCACCAGCTCGAGCAACAGCGTTGTTGAGGAGTTCAGTGAGAACAACAACAACAATAACAACAACAAGAGCGCGATCAGCTCTGGTACTAGCACTGGCTTGAGGCCATATGTGAGATCTCAAGTGCCGAGGTTGCGTTGGACTCCTGAGCTTCACCTTCGCTTCATTCAAGCAGTGGAGCGACTCGGGGGTCAAGAAAGTAAAATTCTTTTTATTGATTCTTGTTTCTCTGTGTATGTGTTGTGATTATTTCTCGATATATTATGTTGATTGAATAGATTTTTCCTGTTTTGGGTATGTTTCTTTTTCATCTAGGAGCTACACCGAAATTGGTCTTGCAGCTGATGAACATCAAGGGACTTAGTATTGCTCATGTCAAGAGCCATTTGCAGGTGATAAAAGATCTCATAACCTACTATGTATATAAAAGAACGATCTCATAACCTACTATGTATATATAAGAACTATCTTTTTCTTACAAAAATAATTACTTAGTACAGTTGAGCTCAATTTCTTTTTCTGTTGGGCACAGATGTTCCGGAGCAAGACGATTAATGATCGAGGAGAAGGTAAAAAACCAGTGTCGATTTAAGTTTAGAGTTAATATAGGTTTCTTGTTTCTCTGTCAATTTTTTTTTTCCTTCTAACAATTTATTAAACCTACTTTTTGCAGTTATAAACACAAGACAAGACTTCATGGGGAGTGCAGATCAGCTTCCTCATGCCTTCTGGCAACACTCCATTCTCCAAAATCTTGACCGTAGGATCTCCAACATCAGGTAGGAAGGATTGCCATGTGACAGTTCATGAATTAATGTGCACCGCACTTCTTATCCCAATGCTAAACTGTGTCTGTCTGTCTCGATCTGTGCAGGGATTTTTGCTGGAGTAGTGACCGGAACTGGATGAGCGGACCCTATTTGACTGATGTAGCCATGGTGAATGCGCGAAATGGGATCCGACTCACAGGTTTCATGGGTGACAACATGAAGAACACGTCTCATCACTCTCATCCAAACACAAAAGACAACATTTACTTTGAGCTAGGAAGAAGGAAACAAGCTCAAGACCCGGTGCTAGAGTCCACCAATTTCACGTTGTTGTCCAGTCTCACACATGCCCATACACAGCTGAAGTCAACCCTAATTCAACCCTCAAAAGACCAGTTAATGCACGGAATGGGAAAGGCTCCTCAGGATGAGATCTGGAGGATTGATATTGATGGGGACCACAGGGACCGAAGCACGGTGAAAAGAAAGGCTGATCATGGCAACGACTGTGGCGATCTTGATCTGAATCTGTCTCTGAGCAATAAGATGCCGAAGCTTGCGGAGGTAAGGAGGAATGATTCATGGGAACAAAATGAGGGTGAAGTGGTGGATGGCAGTCTGTGTCTTTCTTTATCATGCCCCTCATCATCATCATCGTTGGACTTGTCACTAGATCTCAACATGCCCTTTGATAAGCTCAAGAGCTTGAAAGAAAGTGATGATAGTGCTAATGTTACTTATCCGAAGTATCTCGATTGGGTGAGTACCCTGGATCTGATCATGAATTAGGTTTATGTATTCTGGTGAGATCCTGTTGGTACTTGCTCAAAAAGATGATACGCTGAGAAAAGGTCAATTGGTCATGCTGTGTGTTCTTTCTTGTCCTTCAAATCTGATATTCTTAGTTGAATTCTGCTTTAGTTTACTCCACTTTACATATCTATATCCAAATCTACCTTCAGTTTTGTCTGTATGATCGTGAACCAGAACTCTGAGAAGGTCACTTGACAGTTTATTGCAAAACGCTAACAATTGTCTAGTATGTTCGAGGCATAACAGAGTCATGCTAACTTAATCAAAATTCTTCTATGCATTCTAATTCGCTTTATACTCTACCATTGCATCTCAAGCTTAGATCAATAGAAAGGATGATCATAGGATTTTATGACGTTTTACTAGAATTTGTTTACATTCCGAGGGACAAACTTTATTTGGGTATATTGAGACAACTAGTAGAATCCATGCACAAAGCGGTCACTTATTTAGATAATCAGTACTACTTTACTGTTATGCAGCTCGAATGTAAGCATCCTGGATGTATCTTAAACCTTCTGTAAGCTTCACGATCTTCACCGACAGAGCAGGCAGAGATGTTCAAAAATGAAAGAAAGCAAAAAATGAAAACCAATATATGAGTGCATTCCCAGGTTTTCGATGAAGATATTTGTTGAATGGACTCAAAGTTACCGGAGAATTGGAATCCTATCAAGTACTTAGCTCTGTTTAGATCCTAGGGATCATTAACTACACATCATCAGCCCTAAAACATAGACAAATGGTCAATATTGAGATACATATTATAGGTAATATGAATCGGTCTCCTTCTAAATGGACAAACTACTAGAGATTTCAACCTGAAAGTTCGCAGTTGCAAGAGTGATAATACAAAACGTGCCTGAACAATACCAATGAGTCAGGTCTTAGTCAGCATGCTTGTCCGCACGGAGGCCAGTTGAAAATTTGGAAACCCCATAATGTGGCGTCTATTAGTCACCATTAAAGCACAAATGGGTAGCTCCGACAAATTTGACCTTCCAATTCATCAACTATTTTAGCAAAAAAATTCAGCATCTCTGAGCTTGATATTCTTCGGAGCAAACAGACATAGAGGTGAAGATGCATTCCAAACAGTAAAAAACGAGTGAAAGCTAAGCACGTCTTTGAAGACATCCTAAATTTGTCAATTGCAATGCTTGCATTTACTTACAATTTAAGAGAATATGAAAAGTATACACACTAAAAGTCTCGCGCGATCGAATGAAAGGTAAATTGCATAGTGAGAAAGAAGCCACAGGCCGAATCGGGATTCTAAAAGTTCACGTAACAAACCGATATCCCCAGGTAATCTATTCATTAATGCCCAAACTGAGACTCAGAGGATCTTTAGATTTACTGTTCGCCTTTGGTTGTGGCTTAGACTGACGACTCATACTGAGAGTCGGTGCCGGCACCATCTTAGGTACCCAAGGAGTCGGCATCCACGTGTGTACTTCTTCCTTCTTTCCCTGCTTCACTTTAACTATACTCAGCTTGCTAGAGACCTCCCCTGTGTTCTTTCCAATTTGAGCTGCAAAATCGTTAAAAACTATTAAATCACACAAGATAAAAAAATTAAGTTGCTAATATGACAGCAAGCTTATACTAATGTCAACGTTCAATTCTCATGTTTCTGGCCGAAATACAATTTATGCTCCTTGAGTGAAAACATTTAAATCACTAAATAATTCAAGTTTGCATCTATGACCAGTCATTGCATTCCCCAGCACGGCCCAAGTTTTGCGAGTATGATATATACAAAAAGTTCAATAAATGTGATGTAAATCTTGCAATAGCTTGTTTATCTTCAATGAGAATTCTAATTATTTTTTGGACATCCATTTCTTCAGTTAACTACATTCACAAATGAAGAAAAAAAATGATTACTATCTTCTTGCACGATCTAAAACCACAGGTTTGTAAAAATATGAATCTGTACATATGGATAATTAACGCTCAGTAATAAATAATTGCCTTGTGGACTTCACTTGTTTTGGTTGTTTTATACACTTGACTGTACTTATCCAAAAGATTTCGAACTTTTTAGATACACTCAATTGCTTGTTTCGATCATGGCTCGACTCTTCTTCTATCAATATGGTAATATCCGGATGACATACATTGAACACAGAGCCAAACCAATTACATATGATCAATCTTAGAGTAGTAATCTGTAGACTAATCTAACTATAGAAAAAAGGAAAAATAACAATTAGCCAGTGTGCAAGTGAAGATACACTGTTATTCAGCTTACTTGGGTTATTGGTATCCCCATAAGATGCCATTTTGCCTTTGTATGGTGCCTGTCTTTGTGTAAGCTCTCTTTGCTTTCCCAGAATTAACCTTAGCTGTCTCACCCAAAAATTATTCTCTTCTATTTCGGCTGTCCAGACAAATGAGTGCTTATCACATAAAATACCGAAACGAAAGTTATGATGAGAAAGTGAAGAAGAGAGATCATTAATTACCTTCCTTGTGATCTTTATCGCTCGCATAATCTAAGATTTTTCGCTTCAAACTCTCTCGCTCCATTAGCAACATCTCATATTGCCTTTGATAGAAACCAACCTGAGGTGAGAGCATCACAATTTTTGCCTATATTTGCACAAGACACAGCAACATGAATCCATTAGTTTATTTTTTTCATTCATCGCGTTCTATTATCAAATCAAGGTGTCAAGTTACGTGTCTTAGGGTGATAGGTGAAAGAAATCCTAAATTGGGGATGTGGTGCAATGTTGAGCCGTTAATTTATACTAATTTACTTGTAACTTATCTAATAAAGATTATTCCAATAGGCGAAGTTCATCCTTATGGCAATATTTCAAGGGTCATTTTCTTCTGAGTTTTGACGATGATTTCATGCTTCAATGTGGTTGCAAAATATATAGTCTAATTTCTAAGGCAACAAGTTCCATGTAATTGGGAATCTTGTAGAGAAAGTTATGGTCAAATTATCGAGTGCCGTCAACTTACCCGAGATCGAATCTATACAATTTTCATGATTTTATTGAGTCCTATGAATTGTAACTTATTAATAGAGCCATCTCAAGTCAAGAATCAATCTCTTTATTCATGCTTATTTAGGGAATGTTGTTTGAGTTGAGTCTATATAAACCATTCTAGGGTTTTTGCTGCGTGCCACCACACAAAATATAATAGAGGCCTGTGTTGGAATAGGGGATATGTCGTATGTACGGACCACGAAGATATGTACCCTCCTCTTAACTTATACACAATTTTTGTTTTAATTAATTAATTAATTTGGGATTTGATAAGAATGTGATCATTTGTGCAAAAATCTATTTAGTCATTTATTATGGAGTGGACAGGATTATTACCTCTAAAGCTTTGGCTTTTCTTTCCATATCACAAATATGCTGATTGTGCTTCAACCTAGCTCTATCTGCAGATGCACGATTCGATATGATCCTGCATACACAATATAGTACTCGTGTTAATAAATAGATCAATGATCATTGTAACAAATTATGCACAAACAAAAATGCTCAAAATGAACTGACGTAAATAAAGAGAAAACAATTGAAGTGCAATTATATTCTCGTTAATAAGTATTCACCTTTTAAGTTTTTTAGGGTCCATGCTCAGGTTTAAGGGACGGGAGCGTTGCCTACAGCCAGTGGTAGGTTTGCGAGCTTTGGCTTCATCGTTCTTACAGTAGGGTTTGGGGGAAACTTGCAGAGAAGGAGTCGACGAAGAAGCACTTGTTGGATTCATCGTGGCCAAGAGGTCAATTGTTTTGTTCCCCTTAGCCATTTCTTGATGCGTTCCACTGGAGAAAAACTACAGATAATGACACGCAATAAGGACTGCTTAATGGGGATTGATTTGCACTTGAACTCAAGAAACTAAAGTGTATTTATAAGTGAATTATGGCTGGTTGGTTTAAGAATTTATTATCTAGCCAAAGTGCATAAATAAAAATACAGATATCTTACCAGAATAAGGTTCTTCCTATGTTTGACAGTCATTCATTTTTTGAAATCCTAGCGCGGAAATATGTGACTCAACTTTGTTTTCATTCAAACGCTTATCCTCTTGTTTGTGATATTTCTTTCTTATCTGGTCAACCAAGGACATAGGCCAATTAAGACACTCATTAGATGGAAAACTCATAGCTGTCACCTTGTATAAATTTTGCTAATTAGAATCCACGAGAAAGATATGCTTCTATAAACTGAATTCGTAACAATCATGTGACATTAATTGTTGATGATGTAAATCAACACATGAGTAAGACATTTGTTATGTGGATTGCATGAGAAAAATCCTAGTGTCATTTCCACGTTGTGCATAGGTGCACTAGAGCTAATATATTACTGGTCCGATACAAAGAGAAAATATCGTGAAAGCATAAAATGGTGCTAAATATAGTTTCATCCGATATTCATCGATTAAACCATTTTAAGACATGCCTCAAATTTCTTAGAATTTTTTAAGCAACGTAGTGTTAGTAAATGCATACAAATTTATGACAACCTAGTTTACAGATTTACTATCGATCTACAACAAAAAGTGTGTTTGCCAAAATTCATAAGCAAGATGGATTCAGCTAGGCTTCTTATTTTCTTATTCTATGGTAAAACTTATCTTCTTTATGCTTCTTGATTTGCATGCCATAAACCAACCACGAATGAGGATTTTGTCCATAATCTAGCATTTTTGGAAGGTGATTAATTAGTTGATATAGGAAAATCAAAGAATTAGAAAAATATGGAAATAAAATCAATTATTCCTTTCGGTCAATGGCTTCAATCGAACAGAGATATTAAAAGGTACAGCACTATATATGTTCATAATAGGCAAAAGCCTGCATATGCTAATGAAATACACTCTTAACTTTTAGGAACAATTTCCATTTGAGCATCGAAGAACCAACAAAACAATCAATATTAACAATTGAGCAATGTATCGCGGCTCAAACAATAATGAAGATTAAGTGATAAACAATAGTGGTGCTGTCATATGACAATGGAGCCTACAATTATAGAACGGCATACTTAAGAGG